AGAAGGCTGGATGACGCAAGGCAGGGGGCACGCTTAGATTCCACAGCAGTCATGATGGGAAGCCACGGGGACATGGCAGGTGAGGCAGGTGAGGCAGCATCCACAGGACGTCCTTGCCGGTTCTCTTTAGGCGCCACATTTTGCATGGGCTCTATGGGCGTCTGGGGCGGGTCACTAAGGAGGCTGCCGCTACTGCTGGAGGTGGAGCAGCTCGGACTTTGGTGATCAAAGAAATGGCCGAGTGGACAGGTGTGGACAGAGCTGGGATGGAGCCAGGAGGCCTGACAGACAGCAGACGGGGGAAGGGCTTTGTATCACTGTGCCGCTGTGACCCGAAGCAAAGATGCGCTTTGGCTCACAGTTTTAGGGGAAACAGTCCGTCGTTGTAGACATGGCAGGAAGTAGGACAAGAGAATGCAGGAACCAGGGCAGCACGAATAGTAAGAAGCACTCCTGCACTTCTCTCAGGGCTCTGAGAAGCTACTGTTCCCAAAGTTGAGAGACTGTGATACAGTTCTGGACCTCGCTGAGCTACTAGTAGTTTAGTAAGCTGCTGTGTTGGGAATGTTTGTTATGCAGCATTGTCAGAGCCATGACTGACTATGGCACAAACAGAGGCAAGCAGTCTTGTATAAAATCATAAAGAACACCTACTATTGCATCTAGAAACCATCTTTGTTACTGATTTAGAGCACTTCTTCCAAATCTGTGTTTGTTTGTTTTCAGATAGGGTCTCCTGTAGCCCAGGCTGGCCTTGAACTTGCTACATGGCCATGGATGACCTTGAACTCCTGATACTCTTGCCTCCATTTCTTAAGTGTTTGGATTACAGGTCAGAGTCATCATACTTGGGTTTTGTAGTACTGGGGATGGAGCCTTGGGCTTGGTGCATGCTGGGTAGGCACTCCACAACTGAGCTCCCCAGCTCTGGTGCATGCTCTGTCATTGCTGGAGACTATGGACGCACTACGCTCCCAGATGGAACTTCTTAGGAATCCGTGCCTGGGTAGGGTACGATGAGTGAGAGTTTGTCAGTGTGCAGTCCCTCGGGGCTTAGACGGGAAAATGGCAGCTCACTTAATCAATATTTACCACAGCCCAGCGCAGCCTGTGTTGTCAGACCTCTGGCCTGTAGACATTCAGCTCTGTGGACACCCGGTTCTTGCCACACCAAAACATATAGCTGCACCCTGACCCCAAGGCAGCTCTTGGTCACAGACTTGTAGAAGCTGGATGATTCAGAGAAACCCTTTCAGCTCCCTCGCCTTTGGGGAAGCCGGTGCTGACCTGTTTTCTGGGTTCCCGTAGGCGTGAGCCCATGACGGCCGCCTCTCCTTCCTGAATCATCCCCTTTGAGTCAATGCTTCAGGGTCATCTTCGGATCCGTCCCTTGTATGTACAGCTCCCAGAGGCAGCGGGACCACGTGTGCAGCCTGGTCGGCATTGCCTGGCCCTTCCTGTCGCCATCAGTGAATCCTGATTTAACTGGTGTTTAGAGACCACTGCCGAGGCATGACACCAGCCAAGAGCTGTGCTCATCAGCGTCTTTGCTGCAGAGGGGAGACCCTGAGGTTGAGCAGGGGTGTGGCCTTTGTGCTTAACTACATATGTTACTGTGTTACCCAGCTGGGAGAAGGTCCCTTGTTCTTTTTGTTTGTTTGTTTGCTTTTGGTTTTCTGTTTTCAAGACAGGGTTTCTCTGTGGACCCTTGGCTGTCCTAGAACTCGCCCCATGGGGCTGGGGCCCAACACTGTAGACCAGGCTGTCCTCAAACTCAGAGATCCTCCTGCCTCTGCCTCCCGAGTTCTGGGATTAAAGGCGTGCGCCACCACTGCCCAGCATGGTCCCCATATTCTTAAGCCTTTAAATCACATTTGCTTTATTTTTAAATTTCTATTACATTTTATTTATTTAGTGTATGTGTGTGTTCATGAGTGTATGTATTGTGCACATGCATGTGTACACTGTGCTCCACACAAGTAGAGCTCAGAGGACAACTTTTGGGAGTCATATCTCTCCTTCCACCTTGCAGATTCTGAGAGTCAAGCTCAGGTCGCCAGGCTCAGCTGGAAGTGCCATTGTCCTCTGAGACATCTACATGGCCCATCAAAGGCCTTTCAGAAAGGTGTGTGTGTGGCCTGTGGCTTTAGGAAGCCTTCCAAAGACAACCAGGGTCAGCAGGGGAACAGAGAGATATGAGTAGCAAATTCTGATGACACCCTGTTAAATATCCCAAACTTCCTGAGTAATTTAGTCTATTTGACACTGGTGGTGTTAGGTGATGTGTAAGAGGGTATTCTGGATGCCCGGAGCTGAGCTGGGCTGAGTTTCCATGGGTACCAATTCATCCACCCTCCACAGGGATCCATCTTTTAGTAAGGTTACCCCATTTACAGATGAGGGAACAGAGGCCCCAAAAGGTCTCACAGGGAAGCCTGGAGCGCTCACACACACACACACACACACACACACACACACACACACACACACACACACACACACACCCGTGGCCTGCCTCCAAAGTTGAAATGGCAGGGCTGCATGTTTGTAAATCTTACTTCTTTTTGGACATTTATTTCCACTTTGTAGCTGTTGATAAACAACACACCATGAACAGCCTGTATCACAGAACAGCCTCACACATCTCAGCCAGCCTCACTAATTATTCCCTTAGATGGATTCCCAGGAAGAGAATTACGGAGTCAAAGGGCAAGCCTGTCTTTAAGACACTCCATCCCCTCACCCAGCCCGGCCTTGCTTCTGCAGTCTCAGGATTTCTTTCCCACAGAGCCCTGGGTTGGTGGGAAGACTCCAGCCTTGGCCTATCCTTTCCTACGCTGATGGCCTTCTCTTCCCCCAAGGACATAGGGCAACCTCTCTCCTACCGTCTCTGGTCCTGTCCTGCAGCCCGGAAGACAGGCTAGCGCTGCCCAGGGGCCACAGGGAGGCAAGCCTGTGATGAAGGAGAGTGCTTGCTTCAACACACAGTGGGCTTGGTCATGGATGGATGGATGGATGGATGGGTGGATGGATGGATGAATGGATGGATGGGTGGGTGGATGGATGGATGGACTGATGGGTGGATGGATGGGTGGATGCATTAGTGGATGGATGGGTGGATGGGTGGATGGATGGATGGATGGGTGGATGGATGGATGGGTGGATGGATGGATGGGTGGATGGATGGATGGGTGGATGGATGGATGAGTGGATGGATGAATGAGTGGATGGATGGGTGGGTGGATGGGTGGGTGGATGGATGGGTGGATGGATGGGTGGATGCATTAGTGGATGGATGGATGGATGGATGGATGCATGAGTGGATGGATGGGTGGATGGGTGGGTGGGTGGATGGATGGATGGATGGATGGGTGGGTGGGTGGATGGATGGATGGATGGATGGATGAATGGGTGGATGGATGGACTGATGGGTGGATGGATGGATGGATGGATGGGTGGATGGATGGATGGGTGGATGGATGGATGGATGGATGCATGAGTGGATGGATGGGTGGATGGGTGGGTGGGTGGATGGATGGATGGATGGATGGGTGGGTGGGTGGGTGGATGGATGGATGGATGGATGGATGGATGGACTGATGGGTGGATGGATGGATGGATGGATGGATGGGTGGATGGATGGATGGATGGATGGATGCATGAGTGGATGGATGGGTGGATGGGTGGATGGGTGGGTGGATGGATGGATGGATGGGTGGGTGGATGGATGGATGTGTGGATGGGTGGGTGGATGAGCTCTGACTTCATCTGCTCCCAGCGACAGAGCAGCTACCTGTGGACCGGCCCCCTTATCTGGTGTCACAGACCCCCCACTCAGGGAAGACGGCTTGCTACTGTGGGGGAGGGAAGGTGGAAAGAAGACCTGGTGTCTGTCACCAAATCCCATTGTCACCTTCCTCCTCATCCTCGTTGTTACTACCATCACAACCACAATCACTGCCATCGCCACCACTGTCATCAGCACCAGCTTCATTCATTCCCCCCCCCCCCCCCCCGTTACCACCACCACCACCACCACCACAATTATCATCACCGCGTCACTATCAACACCGCCGCTGCCGCCACCATCAGCTTCCTCTCCACCGTTGCCACCATCATCACCGCCACTGCTTTTGGGGTCAACTGTATCTCTTAGAACCGTGCCCCTCAGCAGGTCCTCTCATCTCAGACACTAGGCTTTCACCTGAAGAGCTACTCACCGTACTCACCATGGTAGCCTCTGCCAGCTGGGGTTGGACCACTACTGCCCCTCCGCCTGTCTGGTTTCCTCCCAGAGCGTCCCCACTCTCAGTGTGACTACCCTAGAGCTCAGTTCTAACCTGCACTCCACCCTGCTCCTGACCGTCCCCTCGAGGCTTACTGTGAACTCTAGGCTGAAGGGAAGCCTCTCTGACAAGGCCAGCCGCAGCTTAACCCTGATGCTACCAAGAAGACGGTGTCACACAATGCTGCTGCATCACCCACCCGAACCCAGCAGCAGAGGGGCAGATTCTGGCCCTCTCCTTGTCACTCAGGCGGTATGAGACCATCCAGGCTTAGGCTGTGAACGGGAGAAGGGTCTCCAGGGGTGTCCCCAGCTCATGACGCCCCCTCCATTCTGCCCAGTGCTCCCTGTCTGAAGCCTCAGCTCAGAGCAGACAGCCAAGTTAATCCTGTCCCGGGCTGGTGGTCACCCGACTAGGCGGGGGGGGGGACGACTAGCTGCCCAGAAAGCTGGTGCTGAGTTTGGGTTGGCGGCCAATGGCATCATAGTACCACCTGGAGATTATCTACCAGTGGCTAGTTCCCAGCAGCAGGCCTCAGCGCCCCAAAAGAAAGCGGCTAGCTATTAAAGAGATTCATAGGAAGGGGTGAGGCGAGAGGGAGGGCTAATCAAGCTGTCCTGATTGTAATTGTCCAAAGGTGCTGGCCTTGCTCATAAACAGCCGACCTCACCCGGCCGCCTCGGCATCTCAGCAGGACTTCTCCCTGCTGGGACCATGCGAGGTAATGTTCTTTCAACATAACTCTATTTAAATTCACATTTCCATCATCCCCCAGAGGAGCCGCGAGAGAGCTGAGCTGCGTGGTATAAGCCGGCAAAGGATTAGATGGGGTGGGTGGTGGGGTTTTTTCCTTTTTCCTTTTCCTTAGTGATGGAGATGGGGCTGTGGTGGTGTGGGGTGGGATGAGGGGGGGGGGCTGTTCTAGAATCCTGCAATGTCAGAACAGGAAGAGCTGCTAACAGCCAGCCAGTTTAGCCCTCTTGATATCCAGATAGGAAACTGAGGCCCGCAGGGACCCTCAGCATGCCCAGAGTCCCTTTGTGGCTCCTTCTCCAGGAGACCCTGGGTCCAAGGATGTGGAGGGTCATCTGGGGGAGAGGGCAGCCCGAGGAGGGTCTGCAAGACCCGGCACTTGTTGCTTGTTGCCTGCAGACCTGACTTTCCTCCGAGCCAATGGACAAACCAGCAGGACTCCCAAGAGACCCAGCTCCTTCCCTGCTGCTCTGCTGAGCCCAGAAGGTGACAAAAGTCACCTTCCTCCTACACAGCTGACCCTCATTTCCTCTGCAGGAGGCCTCTGGGGGCTGGCAAAGGCCATGGCTTCTCAGGAGAATATGAGAGGTAGGTGGGACCTGCCAGGCAGACCAGGGCCCTGGCACAGGGGTGGACAGATTGGCCAGGGGTATGGCTCCCTGGGGAGGGCCAAGTCTGTGTCACAGGCAGAGCCCCGGCAGTGAGGGAGAGCAATTTGGGAGTTAAGGGGAACTGCAGGCCTGCTGGCTGTTGAGTTTGGCTGGGAGGTGCCTGTCTTGGGGACTGTCACCTGCAGGGTGGGGGAGCTGGAGACAGCAGCCAGTAGGCAGAGAGAGGAAGCACAACATTTGGGGAGTCCTGCCTCCAGTGGAGAGAACACCAGGGGCCTTCAGAGAGATATCTGCTTCTGTTTTTTCACACTGCCTTCAGCACTTTGGGCACTGTGGACTAAAGCCCAGCTAGGTCCCCCTGCCCGGAGGCCTCACCATAGGGACAGTGGGGGTGAGCATGGGGTCCTCTTCCTCCTGGCAGGCAGACAGAGCCCAGTAACAGTGCTGGTGCCACGTTCAGGAGACACCCTTCTCTGCTCATCATGAGGAGGCAGCTCCGCCTGGGCTCTGGGGAGGCTGGGGAGAACCTGGGAGCCAGGCACCCTGAGCATCTGGTCAGCGGGGTCCTTGTCTGTACTCTCTGGCCTCAGTTTCCCCATCTGTTAATCAGATTCCTTACGAAAGTCAAAGAGGTAAGGGACACGCAGCTGCTTTGCAGAAGGGCTCATGAGCAGTCACAGGTGCAGATGGCGGCTGGGCAAGGGGGGGTGTCAATCACCAGAGGTAGAGGCGTGGGCTATGGTGGATTGCTCTGGCTGACCAACCTCTGCATCCAGAGCAGTGGAGGGAAGCTGTCCTGAGTGCTGGCCCAGCCCTGCTTCTCTGAGGGACTTTGGGTAAGAGAAAGAGACAGCATCTCCTAGAGTCTCATCTTATTTATCTGTAGATAAAGATTTTAAAAAGTACAATAGGACAAACCTGCCTGAGTACTACAGCATGGGCCTGACATGTACAAGGGCTCTTGTTATCATCATCATGCCCCTAGCTCATTGTGCTGGCTAGTTTTCTGTCAACTTGACGCAAGCTAGAGTCATTTGGAAAGAGGCGACCTCAACTGAGAAATGCCCCTGCCAGATCGGTTGATCTGTGGGCAAGTCTGTGTGTATTCTCTCTCTCTCTCTCTCTCTCTCTCTCTCTCTCTCTCTCTCTCTCTCTCTCTCTCTCTCTCTCTCTCTCTCTCTCTGTCTCTGTCTCTCTGTCTGTCTCTGTCTCTGTCTGTCTGTCTGTCTGTCTGTCTGTCTGTCTGTCTCTCTCTCTGTGCAGGGTTTCTCTGTGTAACAGATTCTGGCTGTCCTGGAACTCACTTTGTAGACCAGGCTGGCCTTGAACTCACAGAGATCCACCTGCCTCTCCCTCCCGAGTGCTGGGATCACAGGCGTGCACCACCAATGGCCGGCAGTGCATTTTCTTGATTAATGATTGATGTGGGAGAACCCAGCTCACTGTGGGTGGTGCCATCCCCAGAAAGCCAGCGGAGCAAGCCACGAGGAGAGGAGCAAGCCAGTAAGCAGCACCCGCCATGGCCTCCGCATCAGTTCCTGCATCCAGGTTCCTGCCCTGTTTTGAGTTCCTGCCCTGATGGGCTGTGGCGTTGGATTGTGAACGGAAAACCCATTTCCTTCCCCAACTTGCTTTTGTTCATGGTGTTTTATCACAGCAGTAGAAACCCAAGATACTCACTACCACCAAATTGTGCACACCTTTAGTTCCAGCACTCAGGAGGCAGAGGCAGGCAGATTTCTGCAAGTTCAAGGACAGCCTGGTCTACAAAGCTACACAGAGAAACCCTGTCTGGAAAAAAAAATGCTATCACCGCCACAACCACAATCATCAATCCCTTACCACCACCACATAATCTCCCATCACCGCCGCCGCCATCGTCATCGCCATCATCGTCACCACTATTGTCAGCACCGTCTCCTTCGTCACGCCTACCCATCACCATCACAGCCACCACCACCCCTGTCACCCACCTTCACCATCGCCACTCTGCCACGGGCACCGTCTCTACCTCACCTCATGCTGCCCTGCACAGAGGCCTCCATGCCCTGCTCTCTGCAGAGACACCAGATACTTTCCCGGGGCCAGGCTTAATCTGCACCCTTGAACAGTAAGTACCACAGAGCTAAAACATGCCCACTCACAGACCCAGCATTAATTCCTTGATTACCAGGCTCCAGAGCTCCGCCAGCTCGGGGCCACCTGTGGGGCCTGATTATGAAGCAAGCGCCTATTTTTGGCCTGGGTTTACTGCTCATGGCTCCCACCTGCCACTCTGTCCCTTATAGTCCCCATAAATTATGAACTTCAGCGGGCTTACAAAGGAGCCCAATGGAATAAACCACTGTTGTCTCTTCTTCTGGGACCCTAGCCTCAGAGGGGTCTGTGAGGAGACAGGGGGAGAGGGGCTTGACCAAGGCCCTGCTATCCTTCCCTGGAGCCTGGGCACCACTCCCCCTGAGGCCCTGGAGGAGGGTAGGTTTCAGGGACACGGACAGTGTACAGGAGGTGAAAGCAGATTTGACTCATTTGTTCTGGGAGTTTCCTTGGACTGCTCCATCTACTCCTTACAATTTTACCTAAGCTGTCCATACCAAAGTGGCCTTCGTAATAAGTAGCCTATGTGACTCCCCCGCCCCAGCCACCTTGAGTCTACCAGGAAAGTGCCCACCCTGTGTCTCTAGAGGCTCCAGAGCAAGTCTGAGGGTCAGGGCTGGTGGCTGACAGCCACCCAGGCCCTGTGGGAGGAGAGGGCATTCGGGCACAGGAAGGAAGACAGGGGTGAGTGTTGGCAGGGTGCTCAGTGTGTCAGCACACAGGCTGCCCTCCAGTGAGGAGGCTCCATGGCAGTCCTGGCCCAACTGACCTGAGCCCCTGTCCCTGACGGGGAGAGCGCAGGTGTGAAGATCTCCGAATTGGACCCCCAAAAAAAACATCAGCTAGGATCCTGCATTGGAACTTCCTTACATTTTCCCGTGAGTCCCGAGGCCAGGATGGACTCCACTGCCTGTGTGGCTGGGTCCCCGGCCCAGGCACACACCCATCCCCAGAATCTTCCAGGCAGAGCCTGAGGACCAGAGCATCTTGGACATGAACACACAGGCCTCCAAGGATGGTTGGAAGAATGATCTTTTTTTTTTTTAAAGATAACAAATGGTAGAGGAATTGAAAACATGCCTCACATGTGAAGCTGGCCTGCGCATGCCAGCTTGGAGGGTGGGTGTGGGCTGCCTGGGAGGGGGCGGAAACACAAAGGGGGCTGGGGAGGCCGCAGAGCTGTAAGGACACCTGTCTCTGAGCAACGGCCCAGATGTGACAAGCTGCTTCCAAGGTGACAGCACCCCCTCTGTCCTCTGCACTGCAGGTCCCGCCGGCCCAGGGCACACCTGGCCCCTCCCGGAGGAACCCTCCTGCCGTATATCTCCTGTCCCCATCTGTCAAATGAAATGTCTGGCATGACTTCAGTTGTGATGCCCCATTCAAACGAGGTATCATCTGGGAGCCCCGCCCCCACCTCCCCACCCCCCACCCCCCCTCTGCAAAAGAAAAACAGCAGAGCTGTTCTGGGTTGGCCATTCTTGAGGGTCTGGGCTGCCCCGCTCGCCTCAATGTCCCCTTCAGCCGCTCCTGACTACTGTTGTGTGACTTCTCCTGGGGAGATAAGAGTAAGCCCCTGCTCGCCAGATAGGGCATAGTGACAGACCCAAGACTCCAGTCAAGTCTGTGTGGGTGACCACAGCATGGGTGGCAATTTGCTATGCCAGGCAGCTGCCAGGCAGACAGGCCCCTCTCCCTAACAGTTCTTGGACAGCTCTAAAGAGGGGGGTGGTGAAACCGGCAACTTTATGAGCCTGATTTTTTATTTGGAGGGGCAACATGCGGCTTGTGTGGAGGGGTCAGATGTAGGAATTGGTTCTCACCTTCCACCATATGGGTCCTGGGGCTCAAACTCAAGTGCTTAGTCTTGGCAGCAAGCATCGTCTCACTGGCCCCTTCTGAGCCGCTCAAGTCCATCTGATTCCCGAGCCCTGTAAATTTGCTTAGCTGGAATGCCGAGAAGGGGCTCACTCCATAGCCCTGACTGTAGCCTCTTTATGTAGGCCAGGCTGGCCTCAAACTCACAGAGATCTGTCTGTCTCTGCCCCTGAGGATTGAAGGTGAGGGCTACCATGCCCAGCTTCTCGAGTCTCCCTCAGAGTACAATAGCTGCACAATACAGCCTCACAGAGAAGTCTCCTCAGAGAGCCAGAGGCTGCGGGCACAGATGTATGCTTCTTGGTGCAATCTCTCTGTCTCTGTCTCTCTGTGTCTATCTCTCTGTCTGTCTCTGTCTCCGTGTCTCTATCTCTCTATCTCTGTCTCTCTGTGTCTATCTCTCTGTCTATCTCTGTCTCTGTCCCTCTCTCTCCCTCTCATACTGAGATTGGTCTCTGTCTCAGGTGTGCCAGGCAAGCACTGACCTACATCGCTGGCCCCAATGCCCCAGGTCTGTCTACGCATGGAATCCTTTCTCCTAACACAGTAGCAGGCAATCTAAAGACTCTGAGTAGATCTGGGCCTTGTGCCAGCCTAGCCAGTGACTGTATGGATGGCCGCGGAGCCAGGGTCCAGATGCCAGCTGAGGAAGAAGGTGTTCACTGGGCCTGGGGACATAGTTCAGCCAGTGAAGTTCTCTCAGAACCCAGTGGGGACGGCAGACAGGTGGATTCCTGGGGATCACTGGACGGCCCGCCTAGCCTGCTTGGCAAATTCCAGGCCAGTGAGAGATTCATCTCTTAAAAATAAAAGGTTGAAGCCGGGCAGTGGCGGCACACGCCTTTAATCGCAGCACTCAGGAGGCAGAGGCAGATGAATGTCTGAGTTTGAGGCCAGCCTGATCTACAGAGTGAGTTCCAGGAAAGCCTGGGTTACATAAAGAAACACTGTCTCAAAAAACGGAAAAGAAGAAAAAGTAAATAATGATTTCACATCTGCTTT